AGTTTCCAAGCATGCAACTGGTGTACTTTTTTCGCTATTGTATTTTTCATGCTATTCTTAGGGTGTGTTCACACTGCGTCTAACGCATACAGACTGCGGTCTTTAGCGTCCTTGATAGTGCGCCTGCCTCCCATGCCGGAGACACGAGTGGGGCTTGGGGCGAGTAGAACCGGAGGGGTTACATTGGTGCCGTGACCCGGGTGGGAGTGAGGTTTAGGGGGGTGAGTGTAACGTTGGCCAGCTTTAGTAAGAGCTGTGCAGGTAAACCTCACTCCCCTGATCTCAACAGGTGCGTTAGCAACTGATGCTAGAGGCTGCGGTCTTTAGCATCCTTGTTAGTGGGCCCGCCTCCCATGCCGGAAACGTCGGTTCTAATCCCGCTTGGAGCGGTGCGAGAAGAACCGGAGGGGTTATATTGGTAGTGATGGGAGAAACGATGAAGCTTTTCGAAGCTTTGAGACAATTTAAACAATTACTTCGCAAAATGATTCACTGTTTCGAAGCGTTCCAAACACCACAATGCTGGTGACGCCTGCTGGTCAAAACAGTGTAAATGCAACAAAAATTCAGATTCATTTTCAGATTCATTTTATTTAAATAGGGACAATGCACAAGTTAACATTAACCTTGTTTAAAAACAAAGAGAGATGCATTGTGCCAGGTTGTAGCACAAGTGCTATTTTCCGCCCGTAGTCCCTTGGCAGAGTATAATACAAAACATTCAAATATACAATTTTCTAACCATAAAATTTATTTACAATTAAAACTTTTACAATTACAATTCAGACCAAAATATGCATAAAAACAGCTTTTACCAACCATTTGCAAATGTTTGATTAAAAATATATTTTTTCAAATGCAATTAACTAATCATCTTATATCATTAAATATAAGTGTCTTGGCTAAATTGGCCAGTAAGAGACTATTAACTACTATTATTCCTTTTAATTATCCAAATATCTCATTAAAATGAACAAATGTATAAAACTGATCATCATGTAAAAACCATAGAGTATTTCAATGGTTCGCCACTGGGAGGGAGGCGATCTCAGTGAATCCGCATGATTCATGGGTTCACAGAGATCACTCCACCTAACCCCACGGGTGAACCATTGAAATTTCGAAACGTTTCGAACCAGTTATGACAATGAAGCCTCGTTTATTGAAATCACGTGACTTTGGCAGTTTGATACGTTTCGAAGCTTCATGGAGCAGCGTTTCAGAAGCGCCCATCACTATACATTGGTGCCGTGACCCATATGGGAGTTGAGTGTATTGGAGGCCAGTTAGTAAGAGCTGTGCGGGTAAACCTCACTCCCTTGGCCCCGAGAGGCGCACTAGTGACCGACACTGCAGTCTTTAGCATCCTTGTTAGTGCGCTCGCTTCCCATGCCAGAAACTCCAGTTCGAATCCCTCTCTGCTGTGCGTTTCCCAAAAGCAGCTGGTCGCAAGTTACCAACGGAGATCAATGGAACTTGCGACCATAGTTGGCTTAGGATGCTTTTGGGAAACGCACCGAGTAGAACTGGAGAGGTTACATTTAGTCTGTTGTATTCATATTTCAGTTCAACCGCAGAAGAGTTCGTTTGAAAGTGGACCAAGGCTCATATTTCAGCGTTCAGTTATTCAAATGAACCACACAAACAGAGTAATCACACCAGAGTTTGTTTTAATTGAACCAAACATGCCAAGTGGGACAGCCTTAAAAGGGATATTTCTCTCGGAAAAGAATTCATCATTTTATGTCGTTCTAAACCTGTACTTACTTTCTTTTTTTGAAACACAAAAGCTTACATTTTGAACAGTAGGCCTAAGCTAGTGGAACTTTTTTATTCATTTACAGTGAATAAGGACTTTCAAAGCTTCAAAAAGAATGTAAAAGTACCATGAAAGTGGTCCATGACTAAAGTACTATATTCCCAGTCTTCTGAAGCTATATGATTGCTTTGTGTAAGAATCAGAGTGAAATTTAGGTTGTGGTTGTTCTCTAAAACTCTTAAAATCCTTCTCCTTGGTGCAAAAATAGTGATGTATGAGTTGTGAACAAATGATTCTTTTGAGTCAAATATTTTTTTAATGAATTGTTTGATCTGGTTCACGAAACTGGAACACTTTATGACCTTTGTGGTGCTTTTTTGAAGCTTGGATGTCTTAGTCCCCCTTCATTGTAAAAAGAGTGACCAAAATATGGAAATTGAGCAACCAGTACAAATTTGTCACAAATGATCCTTTTGTGTAATGAAAAGGAGTCATGAATTTGGAACATCAGTAAATAATAACAGAATTTGACTTTTTGTTTCAACTGCCATCATTTATTCACCCTCGTGTCGTCCCAACCCCCTTTTAATTTCTTTATTCATGAACCACTGGCATTTGGTGACATTGACATCAAACTTGACGCATATTGACGGGTCGGGTTCAAATATGCAGAGAACAAAATGACATGGCACAGAGAAATGCTCCATTATTGGAATAGAGTTTATTATTGTGGTTTGGATTATCATAATAATCATTTTTTTTACAGTGTATCATTTTCATTCAATGCTCATGGCGCTGTATTTTCACAAACATTTGATCATAAAGAAGTTAGAGTCACAGTGATGGCAAAGGTTAAAGAAACACCAACTCATGTGCTGATGTTTCACGACTGATTCTCACTCTCAACTATTTACACATTCATACACAATCACAAATACAAATAAAAACCATTTCATATCATTTAATGCTACTGAAAATCATCATATCTGGGAATACTGCATGGGCAGAGAAACCCGCATACACAAGAAATTGAAAAACCAAGAAAAATGTTCACATGGTGAAGCTTGTATCTGCCCTCTTGTAATTAGTTATCTTCGGTGTGGTTTCATGAGTTACCAGAACTTGATATTGTTTTTGTGGTCCACTTACAACATCCATATTTTTCTTCATTAAACAATTTTAGTGACTGCAATCTGAAAGGAACTGAAATCTATCCTTCCTTGTGAAATGGATCTTTAGTCACATTTTTGTAAAAATTAAACAGGCATATTATGGGTTTATAAAGTACTAAATCGGTTTAATTTTTTATTTTTTTTAATTAGGATATTATAATTATGCCTGTAAAGTACATAGACCTTGTTGTTTGGTATTGCATTCACTTGAGGAAAAAAATCTACTCTGTTTTTCTGAATTAACGAGTTAATTATCTCAGAATTACAAGATATTTTTTCATGGAAAAAAGTTTTTGCTCTGTTTTTCTGAATTAACGAGTTAATTATCTCAGAATTACGAGATAATTTTTAATGGAAAAAGGATTTTGCTCTGTTTTTCTGAATTAATGACTTAATTATCTCAAAATTATGAGTAACTCATTAATTCATAAAAACAGAGTGAAAAAAAAATGTTTTTCAAGAAAAATGTATCTCATAATTCTGAGATATTAACTCGTTAATTCAGAAAAACAGAGCAAAAACTTTTTTTCATGAAAAAATATCTCGTAATTCTGAGATAATTAACTCGTTAATTCAGAAAAACAGAGCAAAAACTTTTTTCCATGAAAAATTATCTCATAATTCTAAGATAATTAACTCGTTAATTCAGAAAAAACAGAGTAAATTTTTTTCCCCTCAAGTGAATGCAAAACGCTTCCGTAGTTTGGCACCCTGACTCTGTTCCATTATCTAGTGAACTGCCTCGACATTGATTCCAATAATTTGATGTTTGCATGTTGCAAACAGTTCTTTAATGGGTACAAATAACACATACAGTATATACTGTATGCACAAATATTGCTGCAATGTATTCTGGGATCCACAATGAAATGAGACGCTATCTTAGAATCTGGTCAAAATAAGGTATCTTAGTTTTACTGTCTATGGAACAGCCTCACATGAGGAGCCCGTAAGATGCATTGCAATGCTACTAGATTTGGGAACAGAGCTCCTGTGCCTCAGCTTTACATAGAGGGGAAAATCCTACAATGTCCAGGTCACATTTAATCCCAAACTCAAAAGACAAAAAAAAAAGTATATTTTGCAAGTAGAAAATTAGCATATTTCATTAGGTTTTATTACAAAGCCTATTTTTAGGAACACGTTCCTTGCGGTATTATCCTCTCCGCGCATTCTGTAACAAATCCTTCCCTCGCGGGTCAAAATGACCCGAAGCCCTAAAATTATACCTTTTTTTTTGTCCAGAAAGCTTATTTTATTTTTTAAAGAATTGTTTTTGGGAGATTTTTTATTTGATGTACATTTAAATTAGGTTTTTATCAATAAATAATATATTTAAGTACATTCTTCGCATTCTTTCAACTTAAATTGAAAATAACTTTTTTTTAAAAACATGCATAAACTCAGATCAGCTCAAAATATCTCACATTGGGTCAATTTTGGTGTCTTTGCTGACCACTTGTGGAAAAAAATATATTATATAACATGATATTTCATGACTCTTAGCAACTCGACGGCCTTATATCACTATATGGAGCAAATGAGCTGTTCCGCTGGGTCCTAAAGTCAGTTCTTGAGTGTATCTCTTCAGAATGCTTTCAAATGTAGACATTATTAAATCATTTTTGGAAACGTTTTAGCATTTAGTTTTAATTTTGAGCATTTTTTAAGTTTTTCTATGTATACTGGAGCATTCCTCGCATTCCATTCATTCCTAAGGGGTTCGAATTGACCTGCGAGGGAAGGATTTGTTACTCTTTTTTTGTTACAACCACAAACTCCTCGAATAATTTTTTTGTGTGCATTCATGGTTCAAGTGGATCCCTCCAATGAACACTCAATTGTAAAAACATTTTTTAAATGATTTTGGGGTCAAAATGACCCGAGGGAATGATAATTTGTAATTTTCATTATTCTCATTGGTGATTTTCATTAGTTTATCATTACTGTAATACAAATTTTTACTGTATTACAGTAAAAAAAATTATACTTTTTTGCACTACAGTAATGAGAATATGCTTAATTCACATTAAAATGTCACAAAATCATGTCAAGCAAAATATAATTTCTTTTTTTTTTGAGTGAAATGTGACTTGGGTTTAATAGGGTTTGTGATATTCTTCCAATCAGCATTTTACTTTTTTTTTTTTAAATAAAACATTACACCTTTATATAACAGGCAATGTTCTACACACTTCGGTTCCCAGAATCTTCACATTTCTGCCACAAAAGCTGTAAACGTAATTCCTGTGGGTTTAGAACTAGAATGTCTGGCCATGGATGAAGTGCTACGTGTATGCAACAATATACTATAAGTGCTTGGACATGATACATGACAAATAGACACACTTAACCACACCCACCCCGCCCACAACCCCCCAAAAGCCCCCAAATTTCTTATAGGAAGATTAGGCCATGATATTTGCTCATGACTTGTGGGAAAAGAAAAAAAAACATCTTTTGGGGCCTTTGCACGTATGAAGTCTTTCAACTCGGTGTTGTCTATATATGGCTATGACCTTGAATTTATCATTTTTTCAAGTGATTCTTTTTAGATGTTTAAAGACAATTCTTTTTTTTTTTACAAAAATGAAAATTCTACACTGTTCAAAAGTTCTAATCTTTATTTTCACTGCGATCCCTCTGTCAGTCAAGGACCTGTGGACTGTGCTTTCTTATGTATTGTTTCCTTAGGAATGTCTTATTTGGGAATTTCCGCCATGCTACTTTAGTCCATACTTGCATATTCCTGTGTGGTTTCTTAAATTCATTGGGACTTGGAAAATATATATATAGGTGGGCCCATGTCCTGGGGGCCAAAAAGGTTAGTAGTACGAGCAACGCGCTCCGCATCAAAGAGCCTCCTACCCAATGACGGTCCTGTATATTCCCAATGGTTCGGGCCTCAATGATGGCCCCTCTGTGTAAGTTGCATGATGTCCTTCATATGTTCAGTATGGCTTTGACTGCTTGTCCAGAGAGAGGAAGACACACTAACAAAGTAGCAGGAAAGTCCGGAGAGGATTCTGGGAAGACTGTTTGACAAACCTCAAGTTCTTCTGTAGTTCCTCTCTCAATGTTGTGCCGTCCTTTACAATCTCTTCCGCCTCTCCTTTACATATTTTTTTCTGTCTTTCTCCCTCAATCCTCGTCTGTTCCTGCCGCCCCCCTCAGTCCGTTCATACAGAATGGCAGAGTTGGAGGAAAGGTGGGTTCGGCTGGAGAAAAGCCGCTAAAAGGAGGCAGAGACGCGATCCTTTGCAGGTGGGGAAAGAAAGCGGGAGTTTTGACCACGTGGTCCGAGTGGTGCCCGTCAGCGTGAGCTGTAGGCATCTCAGGTGGGGCGTAGCGGATGGTGCTGGGAGCGTAGAGACTCTGAGGCCCCTGTGGGCCAAGAGCCAGGGGGTGAAAGAGCACACGTCCCGCAGCCCCACTCGCAGTCAGTCTCTGCAGGAGCTCGAAGTCTGGAGCGCGCCCCCCGTGGATGGACCGTTCATCTCTCGGCAGGGACGAGGCTAAGATGGGTGGAGACAGAGTCGGGGACGGGGGGTTGAACAGACCCTTGGGTGGAGCTTCTGTCGGGGTGGAGTTTGGAGGTTGGGAAGGTGGACTGCTCCCATTGGTTCCTACACTGCTGTGCTGAGGTTGGCTCCAGCGCCTCCCAGAACCTGCACCTAGAGTTGTTCCTATCACTTCTTGTTCAGTCTTAATATTCGACCCAGAACTGGCCACCACGCTCTTAAGATGCTGGATCACAGCGCGGCCGTTGTGGATCTTTCCTGCTCCGTTGGCCCCATTGCCTTGTTTCAGTGCCCCCTCTTCGCTCTTCACCCGTTTGCTGGTGGGGTTGTGGTCCCACTCGCTCACTCTCTCATCGTCCTCTTCCACTTCGCTGTCGCTGGCTTGGTCCGAGGAGGTACATGGGCTGTCTTCTCTCTGACGAAACACTTCAATCCGCCTCCTCGCCTCGGGAGGACCACTTTCAGGGTCAGACTGGTGCGATCTCTTCCTGGTGCTCTCTGATTGGCTGGCAGCAGTGTGCGAAAAGGGTTCCTTCCCTTTGTGGTCTGTCTCGGACCTGCCTTTCAATGGCTGTGTCGCCGTGGAGCCTGGAGAAAACACAAGTCTGCTGATTCGGGCTGTTGAGTTGCTTTTTACCAGTGTATGGATAGATAATTGTGTGTGGGGCTAAGGGCATACCTTGTGCCTTTGGAGAGGTGTCACGTGGGGAGGAGCTTGCTTGAAGCCGTTCTGCCCTCAGGCTTTCTGGGAGTTGTGATAAGTCCAGAGGCATGTCTGCCAGCTCTGTTCGACTGAAAATACAGATAAAAGAGTGCAAGCAGTTTACCTTAGGGAGCTTTACACATTTGACAGTCTAAATGCTAAACCCTGTGCCACAGGTTAACAGTGATTCTCCAATCATTTAGTATGGCTGAATCACACAACAGGAGGTTGCACTATATGAGGTACTGGTACCTTATATAGTGCCTGTTCCAAAATGTAGGTTAGCTGCCTACCTAGGCAGCGCTTTAAGGCATCATATAGACACTCCCGACACAAAGGCTTTTCCAACAGACAGGCAACAGTATTAAACTAGGCATGACATGATCTTATTGTGAATGATTCACCCATGCATGCATACATTTCATTTTTTTTCTCCAACTTTAAAATGACTTGTTTGTCAAATTCTAAGACAGCATCTCATGTATCAACCTGTTACACAGTGTGTTTATATGTTGTATTTTTTTCCTCATCTTGTTGTAGTTTATGTATGGTCCAGCATTTGTCTTCCTTTTTTGAAATCATCATACAGCACAATTGGTCAACTGTTGTTTTTAATTGTGCTCTGTAAATATGACAGTGATATTGAGAAGGGAATCCGAAAATGTTTTGCAACAAAATCAGTGAAAAAATTATCCAAGATGGCAGACAGATAAATATAAAATAGTTGTATTTGACCCAAAATTTGTGTTTTGTATTTTATACTTAAATCATTGTTGGCTTAGGAACATATGCTTATGCAAAAATCTATTGGGATAAATTGTAAACATAACCGAGTCTCGTGCTGTGCATGAGAACTTGGTTTTGTGCCAATAAATGACCTTTGCTCACTATGTAGAAAGTTCCAAATCAGTCACAGGTTTCATGACGGTTAGGAAGATTTTGGAACATAACTATAATAGAGTTTCCTCCTCACAGAGAATAACAGCGTGGAATGAGAGGTACTCACTCGTGATAACGCTTCCAACACGCGCACACACACACACACACCAGAAAAGCCCTTCTGAACATGACTCCAGCAGGGTGCTATAGAAGTTAATTAGCTATCGTAATTACAAAGCTAATTAACTAAAACACCATTCAGCCAGAAAATTTTGACATCCATTTGGTGTAATTATATATCACCAGTCCAATTATCACTGAAATTCAGCCAATTTTTTTCTTGTTTTTGTCTGACTTCTTTGAACGTGTGTGCACTTGTGTGATGAAGATTACTGTAGACAGATGGAGAGGAAGAGCGTTTACAAGAGCCACTGTGGAAACTCTCATTACATTAACATATTTTTTATACTGAACCGCAACACTCAAAAACACAAACACATAAGGTCACTAGGAAGCTGACCTGAGCACATAGTTGACCCAGATGACGTTACGCTCATGGGGCGCTTTGTGGTTAATGGACACGGTGGCACAGGACTGAATCCACAGATAGCCTCCTCTCTTCTGCAGCCACCGATAATACCCCGTCACAACCTGCCCTTTCCGCAGCACTAAGAGAGAAGGAAAAGAGTTAGTAAAGGAGTCACATTAAATATTAGGTTTGAATATCTAAAAACCACAATACATTTCTTAAACCTGGAAGTGGAGAAGAGTTACACAATTTGTTTATTTGGCTAGGGGGCGATGTTGTCAAAATGTAAACAACAGCTTCAGGCTCTTAAACTGTCAAAACAGATACAACTGTTCTTTAAATGTTGACCTGTTCAAACAAACATTATTTTCTTTCTCCATTCATTTTATGCTGCCACCCTCACAAAAGATCTTCATATTTCCTTATTGTCCTACAGTACATTACAGGTAAAGGATAACAGTTTGTTGGTCATATTCACAAGATAAAACCCAAAAGCGTGATCAAGTTCATGACATGAAATGCGTACTTACAAATTATAATAAAATAAATATAAAAGAAAATGATGAAAAGAAAAGAAATTTGAGAGAGCTGTGTAATAAGCTATTTTAGTTTATCAAGATCAAACCCAGGATTGCAAATATAAATATTTGCTGGATTGGGAGGTGAAAAAAAGCTAGCACAAATCCGAAGGCTTGAAGGCTTACAGTCTTCATGGCTCAGTCTGATGGTGTCCAGGTCTTCCGCATGGATAAAGTTGTAGCAGGTTTGGCCAACCACCTCAGCTGGGCTCAGGTCCATATACTCTGAAATCCTACAAAACCCACACAAGGACACATATAAAGGCCAATTCACACTGCACCGACAGACACCGACCATACCTCAATACAGTACGTCACTTCTCAGACATTCCACGACCCGACAAGTGACGATTCAACATGTCCAAACAGCGAAAACAAGCTCGGACAGACGCCAACAGTTGATGTCAATGTGAATTGGCCTTTGCAACACTTACTTACATTTATTATGGCAGATTTATTAAATGTTTCCTTTGTTTCACCTTATTTTACAGCACGTGTACTTACTCCAAAGTACAGGGTAATATAAGGTAACTACATGGGTTCAGGGTTAGTACCTAGTTATTACCCAGTTATTGCAATTACTATAATAATGCGGAACAGGACTGTAAAATAAAGTGCTATCGTTTACTGTATTAAATGTCAGCTTGCTTCACAGACACTGAAAAAGTTGAATTTTGAGTGCACATTTTTATTTTCAAACATACTTTCGGCAATGTAGTGCAATTCTATTCCACAGGCTTGGGACACAGTGTTAATGCAATAAAATATGGTACATATTATTATTTACAATAATTTTGGGCAAAACACTCTGGCAAAGGTAGCTACTAGCTAGAGATAATGTAATTGAGACTGAAAGGCATGCTGGGAGGTTACCTGTTCTCGCAGTAGCTGATCTGCAGGTCCATGTTGACGCGGAAGACAAACATGTTACTTTCCATGCGCACCTCATTCAGCGTGGAGGGCGGAAGCGTGTGCGCCAGGGCAACCAATCCCATTGGCCGATGCAAGGGGCGGGGGGAGCCTGGCACCAGGGCTGGCCGACACCGAATCCGACCTGTCACATGAATCACCTGAATTCACCGGAATTAAATGAGCAGTTCAGTTTATGAAATCATTCAAACACTCATAAAAAGTATTAAATGCTAATATTCTAATCAAACAGTGTTGTTTCTCTCCTCACATTCAGTTTCGCTTTAAATTCGTTTAGGTTTGGTGTTTATAATATATGTTGTTTGAATGCCACTATAATTTTTATTTTATACTTAACATTTTATATTTAACGGTATACAGAACAAGAATAAAAAATATATTCATGAGTTAAGGGGAACTTAAATTTGATTTTAAAATGTGACAAACACCGTTGTGACTTATCTGTACTTTTTTTCTTTTAACAATGCAATTTTGACCCGTGCGACTTTATATATGTAAAATATGGTACAAAAGTCATAGGCTGTGTCCGAAATTGCCCCCTATAAACTTTAATAGGGCACTATTTGAAGGGACACCCATTTGTAGTGGTGTCCGAAACCATAGTGGACGTTATCGAGTGCACTCATTTAATCCAACAATGCACCGCAATAACGAGTGTACAACCGATGTACACTCAACAGCTAGAAAATACCCATAATGCACTGTGAGAGTCGTGCGGCGAATGACTTCCCGGTTCTGACCAAAAGTTGGCGCCGCAGCTGAATCATCCATGCATCCAATTCCTTCTTTTATTGATTATTAAATTGTTTAATTACGTTTTATACATAGTTAGTTACCATAACAGAGTTCAATATAAATGTTTTCATTACTACTGGAGCTTCCAGTTTGCTAAGTTTCAACTGATTATTAAACAGCAAGCACAAACTATGCAAAAGCGGCAGCCCTTCCGGCATTCAGTATCCGAATTCACTCACTCTTTTTCATTCACTCCATCAAGTAGTCTATTTTAGTGGAGTAATGTGGGGAATAGTGAATGAGGGTATAAGGGGCGATTTCAGACAGCCATAGTTTTAAGCAACAGCAGCAGCTCTGGGCATGTGACCAAAAGCACAAATCTTATTGGTTGTCCAGTTTTTCCAGTTTCAAAGTGCGATGGAAAAGATATTAGAACGCCTCTTTGTAAAAAAATCCTCTCGCTTTGATGGGATGCGAATGTTCGCACCATTCTGAACAGACGCATTAACAGTCGTTTATTCCAATTGAGATGTTTAATCGCACTGAATTTTCGCACAAAACATTAGTCTTGGTGTGAACAGGCCTTAAGACTACACAAGAAAATCCTTTTGTTGTACATTTTACAAATGTAACATGTTCCACATGAAGGACTCACTTTATAGCCTGAGGATTTAACATGGAGGCCACGCTTGGTGAGGGTGGATTTCATCCGGATGAAGAAGCCACGTTCTGAAAACTCTCTAACTGGAGAACAGGGGCTGGATGGAGCTACAGGGGAAAACACACAACACAAAGATGAACCTTTGAACAATATTTCACAGTCCACAGATCTGATATGACAACAACAATTAGCAGCTGGACAGCCAGCACACTCTCATGTCAAATCCTAACTAGTCTATGTTTTGGCGAATTTGTTTTCATTTTTACGATCTTATTTGTACGACCTGCTTATGCTCCAGTGAGGGTTAAAGTGTTAGTTCACCCAAATATGAAAATTGTAATCATGTACTCACCCTCATGTCATTCCAAACCTGTAAGACTTTCATTCATCTTCAGAACACAAATAAAGATCTTTTTAATGAAATCTGAGAGCTTTCTGTCCCTCCATTGACAGCTACGCAACTAATATTTTGAAGCTTCAAAAAGCTCATAGATCGTAAAACTAATCCATATGAATTGAGTGGTTTAGTCCAAATTTTCTGAAGAGACTCGATCGCTTTATAAGATGAACAGGTTTAATTTAGTCTTTTTTTCACATATAAACATTGATCAGCAAACATAAAGAGAAGCGCAACCGAACATTCTTGACGCGCGAGAATGAACCTCATTGGTTCTTGCTGAAGCTCAAACGTGCTGCGTAACACGAGAATGAACCTCATTGGTTCTCGCACTTCTAAGCAAACATGCTGCCGTTTACCACAACTGATGTGCGAGTTGATGAATATTTATATGTGACTGAAAGCCTAAATTAAATCTGTTCATCATATAAAGCAATTGATTCTCTTCAGAAAGTGACTAAACCGCTCAATTCATATGGGTTAGTTTAACGATCTCTTTATGAACTTTTTGAAGCGTCAAAGTGGTAGTTGCGTAGCTGTCAATGGAGGGACAGGAAACTCTCAGATTTCATTAAAAAGATCTTTATTTGTGTACTGAAGATGAACGAAAGTCTTACAGGTTTGGAACGACATGAGGGTGAGAAATTAATGACATCATTTTTGGATGAACTAACCCTTTTAAGGTTAGGGGTGGACCTTCATGATTAGTTTTTTTTTTCTTCTATTTAAAAAATGTATATTTTTAGTGTTAAAATAACTCAATTCGTACAAATTTATATGAATTTGCCAAAACATAATCAGTTATGTTTTTTCATGAGTTCATCTTGGTGAAGCTCAGAACAACCAATGTTGATAAATATGCAGGAAAGAACTATAATTTTATTTTTTCCTGTGGTCCACTTATAATGTTTGTCAAGGTTTTTAGCACCCAAAGCAGTGATATTTTAGTTTTTCATGGTCCTTTTCCACCCTCTCTCTGACCCTTAGAATTAAATAAGTGTTTTTTGCTGCTACGCTTTAAGCCTTCTATGCAAATACCCTCTTGACAATGAGAAACAGCACTCTGCTGCAGAACAGCTGGTCTTCTACCCAGGATCAGCACAAGATCTGATGGGTTTTGGTGTGCCAACACTGAATAGTGTATGTGGGTGATCATGTGTTAAAATGTATGTATCTTATTGACGACAAAAAGTTACTGCTGCGCATTTTTCATTGCATGATTTGAGTTCTGAAAGTTACCGTATACTTTAAGAGTCTCCATAAATGCCAAACTATTGAGGAAAAATGTAAGTTAAATAAAGCTAGACCTCTAAAGGAGGGTTACCTGGTTCTGGAGTGCCAGCCAGTGAGGATGCGGAGGCGGAGCTTGAAGCACTCTCATGGGACGTTTGACAGCCTGCCTCGGCTCGGAGGTGTGGCCTAATGCCAAGACGTTCTGCCATCTCGACATGATCCGCAGGGTGGATGTAATCGAACACGCTACTGCCAGTCAACTCCACCTGAGCAGGCAGATACACACGTACATACACATGCACACAGATCAATACAGAGTAACATTCATTTAAGAAACATGACATAGATCACAACATATTGGCTAACAACCAATAAGACCTTGAAAAAAAGAAAAAAGATCGTCTATAGCTATTCCTACATATGTAATGCGCAAGTATAAAGCACACACATATTCCTAAACCCTTACACTGGGGAAGCAAACATCAGAGAGAGATAAAAGCAACGCTACACATAAAACATTAATTATAGTGTACCATAACCTCGAATGAATATTCTACCTGGTGCATTTTACAGAACATATAAGAAACTCAAAACTGGCGAGCTTCATAAAACTTAAATCACCAACCATGAATAGACTTAATGTTATAAAAATGAACAAAAGAAAAACCTACAAATCATTCTTAAAGGAATAGTTGAGAGACAAAAAAAAAAAGAAGTTCTGTCATCATTTATTCACCCTCATGTCATTCAAATCCGTTTTCCTTCTCCCGTGGAACACAAAAGCATGTCCAAGCTGCTCTTTACCATGCAAATAAAAGTGGAAAAGGGAACAAGATGGTCAAGATCTTTTTGACTCCAAGGCCCCCCATTGTTCACTACAATATTTAAGGGCCCAACATTCCTAATTTACAGAATAATTTTTCATTCCCTTTGACGCGTACGATCACACCGGTGTGATCAGTCTTGGCTGGTCCCTGGAGCGTACGATCACACCGGTGTGATTAGAACGGTCAGTGCATCACGTGATCAACTGCTAAATTCAAACGTGCTTTCGCGCGTTGGCTGGCGCTGAGCCAGAGACAGACGCACTCAGTGCTGTCATATATCACAACTATTGAGTATTTTAAACCACATAATGTTTATTTTAGGTTTCAGACATTTAAATACACATAAGTACTAGCAAAACAGTGATTTTGAATTAGTAAAATAGACACTGATGTCTATGGAAACGGCAACAATAATCATTTCCATTATAATAAGACAAAACGTTTTATTCATATCAGATACACATTGTGTAAGTAGCTTTACATTTTACCCTATTCTTCTCCTAGTTCACCGGCCACTTACTTTCATGTATTTCGTGAGAAACAACAGGTCCGATTCTCTGAACTGTGAAACAAACTAACATGGCGCCGCCCATCGTGCATACAGCTCAACTAACGCGATCGTTATAAATATGTTTAAACAACAAAACACATCCACTTGCACATATTTGACAATCGGAATATCAGTGTGTCATGCTGTAGCTAATACATTTGTGAATATTTTGAATAGAAAAGGAAAAAAGACATAAAAGCAGATCATCACTCATTCAGCTCTGTGTTGTGATTGCGCTGTGTCACGTGACAAGAAATGACGCGTCACCATGGAAACATTAAAGTGACAGGTTCTAAATAACGGTCGCCTTGAAAAACTCACGCTGGGGGGTCAGTTAGAATATTTTAAACTTACGTGTGAAAGGGTTAAGCTTCCCACTCTTTTTAAAACAACGAATTTGCACAGCTCTTCCAGTTGTTCATGATTTAATGGATAACATCTAAGGATGAGGATTTTAAAATATACCTTTAGTCAATTTCTACATGCTAAAATGCTTAGAGTTTGACTTAACTCGAAAAATAAATATTCATTATAAAAATGCCCATGGATTTTTAAGATTGTATTAATTCACCAGGTCTAGAAATCACACTTTTAAAATTAGGCTACATAATATATCCATTATCCAGGTTTTCCAAGAAAGTAGGAATCCTGGCTCTTCAAAGAAAAACTAAGAAATATCTTGATTTGTATTTGCTTTAACTTATTTCAATGCCTCTCTTTTTCCATTGGACTTTTTGAACCATCTTGGTCCCCTTTCAACTTTTGCTAGCATGTTAAAGAGCAGCTTGGACATGCTTTTGTGTTCCACAGAAAGAGGAAAATGGATTTGAATCACTATATCATTTAATTTCTATAACATTGTTAAATCTATACATGGTTGGTGTCTTAAGTTTTATGAAGCTCAACTGTTTTGAGTTTCTTATACAATTTGTAAAAAGCAGCAGGTAGAATAAATTACATTTTTTTAAATCAAGTTATTTAGAGGCACGCTTTGGAAGTTTGCTGAGGCCCCCTAGTTGAGAATCACTGTCCTATACTACATAATGTGATTTTTTAATTATTATTATTGCAAGCATGAAGAAGATTTGACAGCAGTGACAGAAAAAAAAAATGTATATGAATTTATTTAAAATGTTTAAAAAACATTTATTTTAAATGTAAGGCTTTAGAAGAATATAGGAAGGATTATATGGACTTCTGTTACTTTTGGGGGGGGGGGGACCTTTCTTTGTTTAAAAAAAGAGCAGCCTGGACATTCTGCAAAACAGATCATTTTGTGTTGCACAAAAGAAAATGGCATACAAGATTGGATTCAGAAGATGAGTACAAGATAACAGTTTTTTACAGTATTCCTTTAACACCTTACTTAACTAGTAAGGGTTAAAAATTGTGTAATTTGCATTTCTGCGACTCCTGGATCTATTAAAAAAAGTCATCTGTGTGGGTCAGATTTCATTCTACAGTATCCTGATAAAAGGCCGGTTTCTCCCTCACACCCTTGTCTGTGGGACACAGCCATTTATTATGGGATTAGATCCATTTACGGAGGGATTTTAAAGGATTTTCCGCTGGCCGTCAAGGACACTAATGTGTGTGTGCAAGGCAGGTTGCATGCAAACAGAGGGAAGAGCAGAAAGGAGACGGTGGATGAAAAGCGGGGCTGTGTAATTGGGGATCAGTTGAGGGATGAATTGAGAAGAGTCTGGGGTTTTAAGCCTGTGTCGGCTAATTGAGAGGTAAAGGTGGAGGTAAATCCAGCAGACAGGTGGTCTGGCTTGGAGAACTTAATCTGGTCCACAATGCCTTGGAGAGGGTTGTTTAGCTTGTTGGAGTGGCGCTGATGGGATCTCAGATTTTTGGAAGCAAGTAGACACCAAAGGTGCATGAGGGAGCTTTTGGGAAATCTCAGTTAAAATGATCCACTGGAGGACACTGGGTCTGTAAGAATGAATGTAACTGTGGAAAAAGCATGCACTATAGATTATAGCGGGACTAGAATAGCATTGCCAAGTCTTATTTACTGCAATTAATCTGGTCATTTGGACAATTAGTTTCAAGGAACCAGTTTTTTAAAAACACTTTCACTGTCAACACTGTCCCAAAATTCTCTTGAATTTAACCTGCAATATTCATTGATACAGTCGTGCTCAGAATTAATGGTACCCCTGGTAAATATGATCAAAACTGGCTGTAAAAAATAAATCTGCATAGTTTATCCTTCTGATCTTTCCGTCAAAAAATGGCCAAAAATCTGAAAAAAGTGAAGTAAAATAATTGAAAGTGGGGGGGAAAATCACATTATGAAATAAATGTTTTTCTCCAAAACACGTTGGCCACAATTATTGGTACCCCTAGAATTTTTTACGCGTAAAATATCTCTGAAGTATATTCCCATTAATATTTACCTTTTTAAGCACACCAGGAGGACTAGGAACATGAAATTGTCCAGCCATGACTTCTTGTTTCACAGGAGTTTAAATATGAGGAAACACTGAGGCCAAATTCCCTTAATCATCCACTACAATGAGTAAAACCAAAGAATATAGTGTAATATGTGCAGCAAAAGATTTTTGAGCATCAAAAAAAAAAGAAAGTGGCTGTAAGAAAATAGCTAAAGAGTTGAAAATCCCCATTTTGACCATCAGGGCAATAATTAGGAAGTTCCAATCAACTAAAGACGTTACGAATCTGCCAGGAAGAGGACGCGTGTCTATATTGTCTTAATGCACTGTGAGGAGGAAAGTTTGAGTGGCCAAAGACTCTTCAAGGATCACAGATGGAGAATTGCAGAGATTAGTTGAGTCTTGGGGGTCAGAAAGCCTATTAAAAAAAAAAAAAAATCAAACAACCCCTACATCACCACATGTTGTTTGGGAGGGTTTCGAGAAAAATCCTCCTCGCTCATCCAAGAACAAACTCCAGCAAATTCAGTTGTCAGACACGACTGGAACTTCAAACGGCACAGGCTTCTGTGGTCAGATGAAGCTAAAAAAAGAGCTTTTTGGCAGCAAACACGCTAGATGGGTTTGGTGCACACAAGGATAAAAAGTACCCCATGTGTACAATTTAATAAACCGTAGGATCTTTAATGCTGTGGGCATATTTTTCTGCTGGAGGTCCTGGACTTCTTGTTCAGATACATGGCATCGTGGATTCTATCAAATATCAACAGATAAAAAATCAAAACCTGACGCCTTCTGCTAGAAATCTTATAATGGGCCGTGGTTGGATCTTCCATCAGGACAACGATCCAAAACAAACATCAAAATCAACACAAAAATTTGTTATAGAGCACAAAATGAAGCTTTTGCCATGACGGCCCCAGTTCCCTGGCCTGACCTGATGAGTGGAGTGAACTGAAGAAAAGCAGCACCACTAACATGGATCTGGGAATCTGCAGGATCTGGAGAGATTCTGTATGGAGGAATGGTCTCTGATCTCTTGTCAGATTTTCTCCAAACTCATCAGGCATTATAGGAGAAAATTCAGAGCTGTTATCTTGTCAAAAGGAGATCGCAAAAAGTATAAAAGGGTGCCAATAAGTGTGGCCAACGTGTTTTGGAGAAAAACATTTATTTCATAATGTGATTTCCCGCCCACTTTCAATTCTTTTACTTCACTGAAAGGTTAGATTTTTGGCAATTTTTTTAATGAAAGATCAAAAGGATAAACGACGCAGATTTATTTTTTACAGCCAGTTTTGATCATATTTACCAGGGGTGCCATTAATTCTGAGCACGACTGTATATTTCTTTTTATATATAAAAACATTGTCCATCTTACTGAGATTTTATTTTATTTCAAAATGTATCTTTTAATTTGAATTCATTTAAAATGGCCCATGGTATCCATTTCATTGCATTTTTAAGAGGTTATGTCATGTCAAAAC